ACAGCTTGCATACTGGGACTGCTTTGGGGAGTGAAGTCTAGCTGTGCCTGAGATTTTTCCATGGTCAGGAGGTGACAAGGTTTGAAGTGAGTCCCATCACTGTGGACACTGCTGGTGATTGGGCAAAAGGTGTCTCTTTAGTCCTCTAGGTAACATGTAGCGATTGGAAAAAGGAGGGACTTCTGCTCTTATGAGTTGTGGTTTTTTTTTTTTTTTTTCTTGACACCTAAAACTGAGTCTTTGCTTGTCTAGAAAGGCCAGCTGGTTTACTGTGCCTGGTGTCAGCCCTCCTTTGAGACAGAAACAGAAGCAGGATTTTGGAGAACTGATTGCTTTAGCCCATAGTCACTGCCAGTATGCACTGCAAGAGATACTTTGAGATTGTTGCAGCCCTGATATCCCTGACTGTGTTACAAGTAAATGTACCAATAGCTATTTATTTATTTGTTTACCAGTGGGAGGAAAATCTGTAGTCCCTGTTAGTGCTTGGAGGCAGGAAAGGATCCCCTGGGGAAAGCAGTAGGTTGAGTCGAGAGGAGGCTGAAAGAGAGGGGCTTTAGATTTCCACTTCTGAAAGCATATTTGGGCTTGGTGTTCCTTTCTTAAATCTGATCGGTCTTCACTTGCCTCCTGCTTGACACAAGAAGGTGCTACTTCCTCCCTCTGCTACTTAAGGCTTTCTCTTCTTACTCTGTGCCACCCTGCAGACTCCTGCCCCAGTATCTGGTGGTGGTCCTCTCGTAGAGGTGGCTGTAGCCTTTTGGCCCTGGGTTTTGTCAGAGATGATCAGCATTAATGTGTCCAGTGAGCAGCATGATGACAGTGGGCACTGCTGTTTTTAAATGGGGGGAGCTAGCAGTCAGGTCGGTGGGGCAGACTTCTGCCACTGCTTGCGTGCGTATACCATTCTTCTCGAACTGTCTCTGGTTCTCAAGGAGATAAACACATACCTGCTCCTTTTAGAGTAATCTTTGGGGAGGGAGATAATTTGATTAGGCTCTCTTTTGGCTTGTCTCTTGAGTCTGTAGCTATTCAGGCTGCAGTTGTTCTGTGACAGCCAGACACATCCAAGATAAGGACATCTTGTGTCACCAAGGAAAATATCAGTGGAATCCTTTTGTTGGTCTGCAGTGCTTACATTACAGAGAGTTTGTGGTTGTTCAGCTTTTGTGCTTTGTGTTAATTGAATCTGTTATCTGATAGTGTTTTAACTGGCAGAAGTGCACAAACTGTGCCCATCCTTGTGCACTTCATGAGCTATTCTTGACCGGTTCACAAATCGAGATAGGATGCTTCCAAAAATATAGTTGGTTTTTATGCTGTTGAAGTAGCTGGTTTGTTTTACTGTGATTTCGAGGTGAAGAGGGTGGAGGGCACGTGCTTTGTCTGAGCGCAGCTTCTGTTCAGTAAATGATTCTTTCTTCCCAAGTTGTTTCAGCTAGACCAGAAGATCAAGGGCCTGAATCCCAGTAGCGCTTAATGGTACAGTTGTTTTGCGTGTGTACCTGGCTGGAGGTGTCATACACAGATTGAACAGCTGCACTCTTAACCGAATAGATGCATGTGAGGAAGGGGAGGCCATTCAGCTATAGAGATGTCCTGGATTGCTAAAAGCATCATGGTGAACTTTTTGTTCCTGCAAATTTTTCTCTCAAATACTGTGAGATCGTGTATTGCCTTTGTGCAATTTGTTTGTTTTCATGGACAATACCTGCATTAGTGAAACTGCTTAAAGTGCTTGAGCTACAAAGAAAGATTGCAAGGCTGGTTGGCTGGCTTGGGCTGATAACTGCTGGCAGATCACTACTGTGGTTTACGATCATAGACTTTTTTAAGAGCACCTGACGTGGCTGGGATAAGTGAATGTATTTCTTTTGCCACTCTCCTCTGGCAAATTTTACAGACATGAAGGGGCCACATGCTCTTATTTGGAAGTTCTCAGTTTGTCTTTCTGGTGCTGCAAAGCGTTAACTTGCGGCATTGACGTGAGTCCTGTTCTCAGACAGCTGCTCCAGGAAGACATGATGGTTTGGTAAATAAACCAGACATGTCTCCAGTCTGTGCACTGTCTGTAGCACGAGTGATCCAAGATGATGATTTCCCAATCGTGCCCATGGAGAGTCCAGTGTGTGCAGTAGCTGTTGACATTCTGGAAGTTGCTCTGATAATGGTTGCTAAAATGTCACCCTTCATTTTACTTGCATACATGTAACTACAGTTCACTGTATTCCTGTGTTTTGTTTCTCCCTTGCTGCTATTAATTTTTTATGCTTCTTTGAGCTTGCTATCGTTAGTAAAAGCTGTGACCCTTTTGCCTCACGTTTCTTTTTATTTTTATTATCTTACCTAGTGGGAGTCCTGCTTCTCATCTGAAGTGGTTCTCTCCAGTGCCAGGATAAGTCAGTCTGCCTCACGTATCCCCTCCCATCATTTGTTTGCAGTACACCTCCGTCTACCACTCTCTCCTCTGGCTGAGCGGGCTGTGTGCCCCTTGCTTCCCTCAACTTCTACCTTTCTACCCGTTGCTTCTCACTGCTGTTGCATTGCATTTGAGATGGTCAGTTGTGCCTACAGAAGGATAGTTCTTAAGTTCTGAACACAGTAAGAAAATCTGTGAATAGGTTCTGTGTGGGACTCTGAGCTCCTGGAGGCCCTGGAAAATGATGCAAAATCCAAACTTGCTCATCAAGACGCAGAAGTGACATCAAGAGAAGGGTTTCTGATCTGATAATGTGACTGCAGGCTTCAGAAACTGGTGGACACTGGCACATTGATTCACTTATCCCAGCCTTGAGGTGTGAGATGCTCTCCATGTTCTTCTGGAAGTGCTGTTCGCAGTGCTGCTGTTCCTGTGCCAAATGAAAGCAACTGTTTAAAGAACAAAGTGGCTGGTTACTTTGTAGGTTAAACCTGATGAAAACTAAGAATGCTCCTACTGCAAGCTGCTTTTGTGGCCCTGATACCTGTTGAGCTGAATTCACAAATTTGCTTTCCGTGTTGGATGCTGGATACATTTACGACACATAGTACAACTTTCCTTTTGCATGACTTCTTACCGAATACTTGCAGCTTAGATGCTGTGTGGGTGACACGTAGGGTTGGGACTTGAAAATTAATGTGTGTATTTGTTTATTCAGGGAGAAATAAAACCAGTTCTACTGCCAGCGGGAGCCAGGTTCTTGCAGAAAGGAGCAGCCGGGAAGGATCTGCCCAGAGGATGCCTCGGCAACCGAGTGCAAGCCGGTTGCAGAAAGCAGGAGCTTCTGGAAAGACCAGTGGAGGAGGCAACAGTACCTCTAAATAAGGCCATGGAACCGATGTATTTTGATGCTTGACAATGTGTATAAACTGTGCTTGTTAAAACCACTTGTGTTGTGTGTATTAACCTGACAAACATGATTTGTAATACATGGAATTGAGCTGTTGTTTCTTATTTCCAAAACTTCCTTTGGCATTGCAGACTACTGGCGGTTACCTGAAGGCACCTGGGACAAAGCAAGAGGTGTGAGGCCTAGAAAAGCCTGGAACAGTGCTCAAGTTGCTCCAGAGAAATCATGACTCATCTTACAAGCCAATGCTACTTGCTCCCTCCTTCCCTAAAATCTATTTTAATATGTTCATACTAGTTGTAGCAGCAGAAAGTCTGGTTGGCTGAATTACGAGGTGAATAGTGCTGAGGTAGGTCATACATTAGCATCACTGAGCCCTGCAGGGATGGTAGTTTGCGCTGGAAACCTGACTGTCTGGTGGGGGTATGTTCTTCTACTTTAACTGGTGGTTGCCCTGTTTCTTCATGTATGTGCTCCTGTGGGTTTTAGCACCTAAATCTGAAAATCAGTTTGACCTATCCCATAGCATAATCACACAACATTTAGTCCTTCCAATGATGCTAATGTGATTATTCATTTATAAAGTGTTATGGAACCCTTTGCCTAACGAGCCAGGGCAAAGGAGGACATTATGCCAGATGAGGGAGAGACTAGCTTCATCACTTAGTGTAAGATACGTGCAAGTTGCTGAAACAGGTAAGAGGATTTGTTAGAGCAAAAGTGTTGCTGGTCATCATTCCAGAGCATATTGAGGCAGTGGCTGTGCCTGCTATAGCCTTGGTAGCTCAGGTGCTGTTGGTGAAATCCATTTCACTAATTAGGAGAAAGTGCCTCCATTCTTTGTGGGGGGTAGGTGGTGTTTCCTAGACTGGAGGAGATCTCATGAACCTGGTTCAACAGGTGCTGACATCTCTTCCTGACTAAGAGGAAGAGATGCTGATGTGTATAATATTCTTGTGCACAAGTTTTTGTGCAGAATTTCAGTGATGCTCAGATAATCTTATAGATCCCCCTTGAACAATACTGCAGATTAGCCTACTTCCTCCACACCCCCCCCCCGATGAGGCCTAATCTGTTGCTGCTTACTGAAGGTGGTGTGTTCTGCTTGGTCCCATTTATGACACTGTTAGGGTGCTTAATCAGGTGCACGTGTTGCATGCTGTCTGGTCGCTGATTTTCTGTGCAAAGTTATTTTTTGACTCTTTAAATGGGTGCAGTTGGCTGTAGCACGCAGTGAGGTTTGTCCTTCTCAAATATGAATGGAAACCTAAAAAAGAAGCAGGGAACGCTTGAGAAGGGACTAGAGCATGAAGGTCTCCCAGGGGACCATCCCCGAGGGCTGTGAGGTACAGGCAGGACCCCTGCAGAGAGACCTCAAGAGGCAGGCAGCACAGACACCTGCATGGTACCTCTAAATAGGCAGCGTGGGCAGTAGCTAGGAGGGAGCAGAGTGGTGCAGCGGAAGCGTGCTGGGCCCATAACCCAGAGGTTGATGGATCGAAACCATCCTCTGCTAACAGTCGGTTCATTTTTTTCCCGCTCGCTCTCTGGGTTGTTTTTTGTTTTCTCCTCACACCGCGGCTTACGGGGTGCCGGCTGGGGACCTGCGGCCTGTGTCACTGGGGCTGCCGAGTCAAAACAGGAGGCGGGAGGGAGAAGGAAAAGTCCACCTGGCCCATACGGGGATCGAACCCGCGACCGTGGCGTTATTAGCGCCACGCTCTAACCGACTGAGTTAACCGGCCGCGTTTTGCACTATTACCGAGCCGGCTCCGTGAGGAGCAGGGCGAGCGCGGCCGGGAAAAAGAAGCGGTGGTAGGGGAATAAAAGATACTTCCTAGCAGTGGATGG